CGCCCGGCTGCCACCGACCCTGCCTTGAGCACACTCTTGACCGCGCGTGGTCTTGGGCGTCCTGGCAGCCAGGGCAGCACTTATTAAAAGCCTCAGCACAGATAACTATGCCTCAGCTGAAGTCCCGACACAGCAACGTTTCTGCTGATTTTTGTCCTTGGCAGGGTTTTGATCAAAGACTGTGCAGCAGGCCAGCAGAACAGAGCTATCACATAACGTGCGTTTGGGATCAGTCCGTCTCCTGCCGACTTCAGCGACTCAGGCGGCGCGAGGGCTGCGGGCAGCGCCGCAGCCCGGCCGGCCCACGAGCGCAGCACGTAACCTCCTCCCCGACATGCAGCTAAGCAGGAAGGAGACGTTCTCCTCAATTTCAGTGTTGCTGGAAGACAGCTCTCCGTTGCAGCTACATAGCGGTGTTTATTTAAAAGAACAAAACCAACCCCCTCCCCCCCGCCATTTTCCAAATTCCTGTAGTTTCTGCAGTTTTTCCATTAGACTACAAGAACAACATCCGCTGGCTAAACCTAGCTAGGAAGGGAGCGATTACATCAACTCAAAACAAGCGGGCACAGGCGACGCGGTGAACCTGGGAGCAGTCGTTACATCACTAAAAACCCAGCACAAGCATCAGCAGATGCTGATAACTGCTCTGGCAACTACTTCTAGCAAGGGCCAAATAGTGACTCATCCCAGATCCCTGGCGGAAAAGGGAGCACAAATAGGTCCCAAACACCCTTCTACTCAGCCCAAAAATCAAAGAGCTCCCTGGCATGAGCAGGCTCTCGTCCTTCCAAGTGTCATTACTACGCCATCCTGAGGATGGCTCATTAGCCCCAAGAAAAGAGACCACACTGTGCAGACTCAGAGGGCAACAGGGAGCATCGGGCTCAACATGGGGACTGTAACCAGCCCTCGCTGGAGGCTCTTGCACTTCTTGCACCCTTGGCAGTTCTCGCGGGGAGCAAACCCTCAGGAAATTCAAAGCTGCACAAGACAGACAGCAACATGCCGCACAAAGCGTCGTCGCACAAAGCATAACTTGTTAATTATTCAGTGTGCACATGTAAGATGGAGAGAAATCTCCCTCACTCTGGAAGCACTTGAAATAAAAACGTGACTACAAAGCCTGGCTCTTGCCCATTTTCAGGGATAAAGACCCAGAAGGAAGTATCAGAAAAGGCTAATCGGGGGTGGGGAGGGAGAAAGGCAGAATACTTCGCACTTTAACTGCGCTTCGCAGTCCCCATACACGGTGAGCTCCAAGGAGGAAAGGGGGGCAAAGATTTAAACCACACCTCTTCCATGTACAGGGATCCGATAGTCAGAGGACAGAGTAAATTGCTTAATTTCTTCTGGTCACACGAGACCAGAAGAAATTCTCCTGGTCACACCACTACACTGGAGAACTTACTAGCCAGCAACAAGCGGCTTGTGCATCACGTGCTTGACATAGAATAATGGCAGGCAGTGGGCGCTCAAAACATGAGCGGTCAAAGCAGAAAGCCTACATTAAGAGCAATGAGGGTCCTTAGAAACGTCCTCATCTCCCCATCCTGAAAGGGAGAACTGGTCAGCACACCTTGCAGAAAAGCGGGACACCTGTGCCCAGCTGCCTCTTCCAGGGCACTGGCGTTAGCTTACATCACTACGCTGCCAAACCCCAAAACAACAGAAACACCCCACCACCTCCAGCCCCGCCACCAGGCCCCTCACGCTACTCGCTCATCACTGTTGAGTCGGGAGGGAAAGGCAGTGGAGAAGATGCTCTGTGCCAAAGCTGCACGCTAACTCCCTCAGCAAAACAACGGCCTTGTAATGGCTGAAAAGAGAAATCTGCGCACGTGACTTGTATAAACAGGAACACACTGCTGTAGCCTCAAAGCAGCTTACACTTGAAAGATGGAAAGAGGCGACACCGCCTTGCTCCTTGGCCAGCCAGAGCTAGAAGTGCTTGGAACGGGCACTAAGCTGCAGTGGGAAGAGGTGAAGCTCTTCTTGCCGCTGTAACTCAGCCCGCTGAGCACGCACGCCGGCGTGCGGGGCACACGGCACACCTGCCACGCCAGCCCTTTGACAGAGCAGGGAAGAAGGCAGGCACAGTCTATGAAAGCTTCATGAAGTGTTAGAGACTGTGCATTAACTACATATGCAGGCAAGGAT